GAAATTAGTTTTAAGAGCAATGGGACGTTGTTTCCTCCGGAGCGTCACGTGAAGCGACGTCCGTTTGTGATGACGCCGCACAGCTGATCGTCTGACAGCAGCCAGATCAGTGCATGCGCTGCATCGTCCAATCAGTGAGCGATACACAGTAAGGGGGCGGGGCGAGTGTCTGAGGATTTCACCGGAGGATGGTCTGGTAGTTCCTCGATTATCACTCCTCGGTCCTCCGGCAAAAATAAGGCCACTGGGACGGTACTCAAGATGGTGCAGACTAATCAACTTCCGGTGAAACCGAGACCGAGGAGCGAGGAAGTGAAAAATAACCGAAGTGAGACGCACCCTATGAACCTGAAAGTGAGCATTAATGTTTTCACTACTTTGTATTTTTGCAATTGCCACTGAGGTGAATTGACAAACTCTGTTCTGGAGGTTCTTCAAAATGACCTGAAAGCCTCTTATCTGAGAAGAGGATGCTTTTTGGTGAATTTCAGGCGATTTCAAAGTCACACAATGTTTGTTCCCCTTGGAGAAAATTGCCCCTGCACCGTTCCTCTTTCTACAACCAAGCCCTGAACACACGACCCCCCCTTCTTGTAAACAGGAAGTCTCTTTTTCCCACGGGGTCGTTGTGTTTGCTGTTATCTACAACTTGAGCTCTCTTCCCTTTATTTACATATGAGAAAAATAATTAGCTACATTATTAAAAGTTTTTGCTAGTAAATAAATAGTTTACGTCCATTTTAAAATGGACATGTAATGGCTCCAGTTTCTTAAATGTGAGCATTTGTTGCTTGTTCTTGCCATTTTTACATCAAAGTAAGCCGAACATCTTTTGTTTTCTTACTGTTTCGTTGGACAACACAATACATTTGATCACTTTTCACATTTCTCACTACTTTACGATGTTGGATTGGGCAGACGCTGCTTTAGTTATCGAGAACACGATCTGCAGATTAATCAATAATGGCAATAATCGTTAGTTGAATGCCTCTGTTATAGTTTTGGACATAAGAACTGATATAACTGTTGTATATGACCACCTGTCTCTCTTATTGTGTAATATATGGACCCCATAAGGATATTTACTCCACTTGAATCCCCATTTGTCTTCTACGTAGACGCCACATGTCCACTTCCACTCTGTCGGAGTAGCACTGACTCTTCCTTCGCCTCACTTTGGATTCTCTCCTCTCCGAGTGCTAATCCTACACCGCCCCACGTCCTCCAAACTGCTCCTCCTGAGCCGCCTGCACTCTAAATAATTAGTTTGAAAGAAATGCAACCTCCTGTATCTGTGCTGTCTCCTTCATACTTTCCATCACTTCACTCCTCAGTGACCGGCATCTCTGTCTCGGGCATCTGGAATAGACGTCAAGTGTGTCTTAAGTGACGTTTTTGACAAGTATAAAGTGAGTGACAGTTGGGTAGTACTGTTCTGTTCAAGTACTGCCAACGATAAAGCAAAACAAGACAATTGTGCCTTTCCTTTGCCAGGCTTCTGCTCAATTAAGCTCATGATGCTATTATTGTAGCCACAACTCTGTCACTTATTACACCCGTAAAGAAATATGATGGTTATTATTAGAAAAATGTATAGCGATTTCAATGAGAAGCAGACAGATTGGTCCACACATTATGTGTTGGGAAGTAGATCCAGGATATCAAACTGATTCATGAGCAAACATGTGGAAGCTAATGCTGAAGCCTACAGATTACAGTGAACTTTAAAAGTGAACCACAGTTTATTCAAATTAAATTAAGGTGCAATACTGTTCTTCTAATATGGGGTAGCTCTTTATGCCCCGCACAATAATTTAAAAGTAAAAGCAGCATGAGTAAGACTGTATATATTAGGGCTGCACGATATTGGAAAAAACTGACATTGCGATCTTTTTCCCCCTGCGATATATATTGCGATATGAAAACATACAGGAATTGAAGAAAAGACAGTTTTTTTTTGTCCGCAAACCATCCTTTCTTGAACTTTAATGCTATACAATTGGTATTTTTTTAACTATATTTAACCGGATGAAGGATTTTAGTCACGGACGTCTGGATCTTAAGTTATCAGAGCGACAAGCTGAGCTAGCTCGGTTAGCAGCGCCAAACTGCCCTGGAGAAACACATGAAACTACTTTATTCAGTGTTTTTACCTTTAATCACCCGGTCCGTTTGCTTTGGAGATTTGATTGTGGTTTGCTGTCACTCACTCAAGTACCCCTGACATGAGAGCCGCGCAAGTTTTCCTTTTGTAGCAAGTAGCAAAATAATTGTAACATGACGTGTTTGAGTTAATTTGCCTACTTAATATCGCAAGTCCTAAAGAAATCGCACGTCCACGCGATGTGAATATCGCGCATATCGCGATTATCGTCACGACACGATATATCGTGCAGCCCTAGTATATGTGTGTATGTGTATATATATATATATATATATATATATATATATATATGTATGTATATATATATATATATATATATATATATATAAAAAGGGACACATCCAGTATTTCTTTAGTAGCTAAACAAGCTAACGCTGGTTAGTGATGTGCTAACGTTCTCTGTTAATGTTAGTGCCAAAGGTTTTAATGTAGAACAGTAACAATTGTCACTCAGAAATGCAATATGCATGTTTTACCATCAGCTTGAAAGTACAAAAAAAAAAACCTGGAAAGAACCAATCTGCTTCATATTTTTTAGTAGCATGTCGTTGTGTCCCTGAGACACTTCACCCCAAATTGCTCCTGTGGGGATTGTCCACAGTATTGAGTATGTAAGTCGCTTTGAATAAAAGTAGTAGTAGTAGTAGTAGAGGTAGTAGAGGTGTGTAGTTTTTTGATGGACACTATGATTGGCTAGTCTGCATTTGAGGGGCGGGACTTAGCAAAGGTCCAGGTGTGGTTAATCATGGTTTCTTTGACTGGAGCCCATAGCTTACAGAATAAACCGTAATTGTTGACACATGTAACTGCTGAGTGGTGATCAGAAATGCTCGCTCACTGTCCTGATGCTAGCGTGTTAGCATGCGTCCTCAGACCTCCACTAATGTGAGTGCTTTGTGTTAATATTGAATGGTGGGAAACACAGGTAAGGTTACCGGATAGATATAGTTCTACACATGCTTCATGAATAATGCAAACCCTGGATGACCTCCTAATTTTAGATCAGGATGACACAGCGTGGCAGCTAGCATTCCTCTCTGCTGCCAAACTCTGTGTGTGATACGAGAGGAAAGCACAGGATGTTTATGGGAACATTGTGTTACACGTGATTCAGACATTCATTATAATCAGTGGTGGTACTGGAAAAGCATTACAAACAAATTCCATGCTAGTAAGAATATAGTAAATGACTGTAATAACAATTGTGCACAATAAAAACTAGTTTAGGGTTATCACATCACTTCAAATGTGGTTTTTGCAGACTCTTATTTTACTATTAGTGACGATTTAGAGCAATGTGAGTGAATCTCCAATGCATTCAACATGTTTATCAGACCTCAGAGATATACACAATGCAGAGAAACACTGAATGTAACGACAACTGTTTACAAGAAAACTAGAGTACACCGTGTATCTTTTAAAAAATGGTACTTTGCACATCATAAATGTAGTCTTGTCATAGTTATATCATTTTTTCCTGAGGATAGGAGCTTGTTGACATAAAGCCTGTTTATATATGGGTAGAGTAACTTCCGAGTTATCAGTATGAGTCCTCTGTACCCACTGCATGTTCGCATATAATGAATATCAGCAACATTAAACCCCATATTAAAGGGGACCTATCATGCAAAATGCACTTTTGTACGTCTTTTATACATGAATATGTGTCCCCGGTGTTCCAGGGAACTCACCAAGTGTCAGAAAACACAACCCTCTCTCTTTTCCTCCATACCCAAATCTCTAAAAACGGGGCTGCAACGGAGCTGATTATTATTTGAATTTTTCTGACGTCAGAAAAGGGGTGCTCCGCCTATATGGGCAACTCTCCACCTATCAGGGGAATGAGAGAGCGCTGGAGACGCTGTAGTACATATGCCAGGCCTGTAAGTGGCGCTGTGTAGTCTGCCACAAAAGCAGAATCAGCCCTTGCAAAAACAGGGCTGGAAAAGAGCAAATAGAGCGAAATGAAGCATGGCTAAAATACATGATCTGTTTGGTATTTGAAAAAAAAACTTCACAGACATGTTTTATATTGGTATGGCCCTACAATATATGTTTAAAATATAGCATGATAGGTCCACTTTAAATTAAGTGCCGGTATTAAAAGCAGCATGCAAATATTTCAGGAATTACTCAATCGTTGTCACTATCTTACATTTGCATTAATTTTTGCATGCAAACAACTATTTCCTTACACTACGCCTAATCTTTTATGTTGAGTGTGTTTGCTTCCTGTATCTATATGTGTCTGTCGATCAAAACACAGACCACAGAGCTTCTGTAGTTGATCTGTTTTTATTCATGCGATCTGAAATGTCATTTAAAGGTCCCCTCATATACTGTTTTTCATCAACATATTATAGGTCTCAGATATGTTTAACCCAACTGCTCCTAAATGAAAGTCACTTGTATAACTCACATTGAATACAAATGCATTTAAACTTGAAATGTACACTTGTTGTCAGGTAAAAAACTATGTTAAGACTCACTACTTATTTAGGAAGCCAATAATGTCTCCCCTCCCCTCTGAACAGTAACTTGTATCCGTCATATTTGAAAAGAAACATTGTTATTTTCTGTATTCATGTAAGACAAAAGTTATTTATTTGGCGATGACTTGCGCTATTTTTAGAACGCCAGGCACCTACGTACCCCCTGCGATCCCCTCAAGTACCTCTAGGGGTCCCCGTACGCCCGGTTGGGAACCACTGTTTAGAGAATAGTTAAATATGAATATAAAAGCAGTGTTTGTCCTGAAGAGTTTCCAGACATCAGTACCTGTACCACACTTGTTCACAACCTAACGACACTCCCTTGCTTCTCCTTCCCCTCGCAGGACGTAACGAGCCTCTGAAGAAAGACCGCCCCAAGTGGAAGAGCGACTACCCGATGACGGAGGGCCAGCTGCGGAGCAAGAGGGACGAGTTCTGGGACACGGCGCCTGCCTTCGAGGGCCGAAAGGAGATCTGGGACGCTCTGAAAGCTGCTACTGTGGCGCTGGAGTGCAACGACCACGACCTGGCCCAGGCTATAGTGGACGGAGCCAGCATCACCCTGCCACACGGTGAGCAGAGCCGGGAAGCAGTGGAGTACAAATACTTCGTTACTTTACTCCACTACTTATTTTTCTGACTACTTTTTACTTTGACTTCTTACATTTTGAACACAAACACCTGTACTTTCTACTTCTTAACATTTTTTTAAAAAGTTGAAAGCCCAGTGGCGATCTGCTCATCTCTCATAGAAAAGAATATGCTACACAGGGGCGGACTGGCCATCTGTGTGTTCTGGAGAATCACAGAACGGACGGTCGTCATTATTATTATTATGCCGTTTAAACAAATTATTTAAAGTGGACCTATCATGCTATATTTGAATAATATAGTGTAGGACCATACCTATATAAGGCATATTTATACTTTTTTTTTTTCAAAATACCAAACAGATCATGCATTTTAGCCATGCCTCATTTTGCTCAATTTGACATTTTTTAGCTCTGTTTGTGTAAGGGCAGATAAGTGCAGAACAGCACCACCTACTGGCCTGGCATATGTACTACAGCGTCTCCAGCGCTTTCGAACGGCAATGGCCGTGGCTGTCTCCTCCTGATTGGTGGAGTTGGCCCAATAGCCGTAGCGCCACCGTCCTGACGTCAGGACAGTGTTCAAATCTGGATCAGTTTTTATCAGATCCGTTGCAGCCCCTTTTTTAGAGATTTGGGTATGGAGGCAAATAGAGAGGGTTGTGTTTTCTGACACTTGGTGAGTTCCCTGGAACACCGGGGACACATATTCATGTATAAAAGACGTACAAAAGTGCATTTTGCATGATAGGTCCCCTTTAAAGTTGTTTAAACCGCATCATGTAAGTTGCGCTGACGGGTGAAAGAGGTCCACACACTGCTTCCCCGCAGCGAGGCTCCCCCCGCCCTCCTGGTGACGGGTCACGAGCGTCGAGCTCTTCACCCCCATCCCCCCCACCCCAGTTGACAGTTCACGATCGTCGGCACAATGATCACAATTCTTTTTTTAAATGGCACTTCATATCAAAAAGGTTGCCGACCCCTGGTCTAGAAGATGCATTTTCTAAAAACAAGACCATATATCTCACTGCTTTGTTACCTCTTCAGTTATTATGTCTTATATCGAGTGGAAAGACACATTCTGACTAGATATTAGACAAATGTACTTGGCAAGATTTTGAGTTTTTACAGTGTAATACTTACTGCCGTCATCACTGCACCACTCTGTAGTCCACAAAACCAACGTCTTGTCTACTTATTGTTTTAAAAGTCTGTAGGAGACACTCAGTTTTCTTCATCCCTCCTCTCCAGGTACTCTCGCTGAGTGTTACGATGAACTGGGGAACCGCTACCAGCTTCCTGTTTACTGCCTGGCTCCTCCTGTGAACCTCATCTCAGAGCGCAGCGACGACGACCCCAACGACAGCCCCGAAACACCCTCTGCTCCCAAGAAGGAGTTCCAGCTCAAGGTATGACTCCTGACTCCTAACATCCTTGAAGACTTATTTGGTTGCTTTTCTTTCTTATTTAGTGGGAGTTTGCAAGTGATGACGTGTCTTACTCCTAACTTACTTACTCCTTACTCCTAACTTACTTACTCCTTACTCCTAACTTACTTACTCCTAACTCCTAACCTACTTACTCCTAACTCCTAACCTACTTACTCCTAACTTACTTACTCACTCTTTACTTACTCCTAACTCCTAACTTACTTACTCCTTACTCCTAACTTACTTACTCCTAACTCCTAACCTACTTACTCCTAACTCCTAACTTACTTACTCCTAACTCCTAATTTACTTACTCCTAACTCCTAACCTACTTACTCCTAACTTACTTACTCACTCTTTACTTACTCCTAACTCCTAACTTACTCCTAACTCCTAACCTACTTACTCACTCCTTACTCACTCCTTACTTACTCCTTACTTACTCCTAACTCACTCACTCCTTACTCCTTACTCCTCTTTAAAGACTTATTTGGTGGTTTTCTTTCTGATTTTAGTGGAAGTTTATTGTCTTAAATGTCTTTTCTTTGCCCACACTTCCAACCAATGCAAAGTATTTGATGAAATGGTCATCAACATGTATTAAAAGGGAACCCATCAATTATACTCCTATTTGTTTTAGCTTTTGTAATTGTCTCTGTGTCCGATATAGAGAGTTCTGATATAATAAAAAGCACTAAAGAAAGTTGATATAATTTTAGTTATTTTTTCCTTAATTTGTTAGGGTTATGAGGTCTATATAATATAAATTAAAGCATTGGATGTAAAAAGAAAACCCCAAAACAAATTACCCGATCGCCTACATTTTGTTTAAACTAATTTATACTTATAAGATAATAGTAATACAACAATATAAATAAAATAAAAAAAGGGAAAGTGTGTTTTTCACGTTGGTCCAGTATTGATTTCCCCCCTTCCTGCTGTGTGTCTGCAGGTTCGCCTCTCCACGGGCACGGACCTGCGTCTCAGCGCCTCGATGGCGGACTCCATCGGTCTTCTGAAGAAGCAGCTCCACGCTCAGGAGGACATCGACGCCGCTCACCAGCGCTGGTTCTTCTCCGGGAAGCTTCTGACGGACAAGACGCGGCTGCAGGACACGAAGATCCAGAAGGACTTTGTCATCCAGGTCATCGTCAACCCGCAGGCCCTCGAAGCCCCGAAACTCGACCCCGTGACCCCCGTCACCCCCCCTTCCTCTCCTGTTTCTGAATAAAGAAGTGGAGGACACTTAAGGACCAGAGGGGGCCCTTCTTTTGCTGGATTTCTGATGTTTTTTTGGAGCGAAAACACGAGGGAGAAACTTAAAAAGTGCTGCTTTTCTTTCATCTACCATGTGTCATTGTACTCTATTTTTTTGTGGGGGTTTCCCACACTAACTCTGGAGATCCTCGTCCCCCTTGTGTCTTTGAATCCATCTTGAATTAAAAGCAGACCACATACAGAAATGTGCTCATCACTCGCTGCCCTTTTTATTTGATCAGCACTAAAACTAACGAAGTGCCAACGGAGGAAATGCAGAGTGTTGGTTTTAAAGCACATTTCCACTTTGACTTCCTGACTTCCTGTTTCCTCCACAGACACGGGAAGAACTCTCTCCTCCTCACTTCCTTTTTATCGAGGAAATAATTAAAACTGAGCTTTTTTTGCACATTCGAAGATGATAACTATACATTTGTGGTAGTTTGTGTGCCTTCTACAAGAAACTAAAAAAGGGTTGATGTCCTGAAAGACGCTAGTTTTTAGGCTTAAGCCTCATGTATTTTTTTAGATTAAGGAACTCTTAGATCAATCCAAGCTATAACTGCTGCCTTTTTTTAACAATTTCATGAGTCTTGCAGACAAAATATCGAGTGTGTGTGCTGGCGGCAAATATGTGTGTGTGTCTGGAATATGTATTCAGCCCATATTATACATTTCAGTAGCTAACAAAGACTGTTTCCTGGTCATAGCTTTGCAGTCAAATTGTATCATATTGCAGAGGGAAAGAGGAATCCCCAAGCATAAATGATGGTCTTAAAAGCTGCATTAATGACCACTTATTGACCCCCGACCACTAGGGGGCAGCAGCACAGCCTATATGTAGTCACTTCAGCTACTAAAGGGCCTGTTGTCCCGTTTCCTCACCACCTGATGAATGTAAACCCAGTATTCATTAGCCTTTTTAATGCTCAATAACCTCATTTGTTCACGCGATGTTTCTTCACCAGCATACAGGCAGCTTCTGTGAGTGCGTCTGCCTTCAAGCTTTTATATGTGGGATTTATCAGCCATCAGGAGACTCTGTGGAGCGGTGAATGAAAACAATGAGCTGGAGGAAATAAGTGGAGTGATTATCAATGCAACGGGATGTTTTAACAACCACAGGAAGTCGTTTGTTTTAGTGTTCATTTCAGAAGTATAAAATGCATTCGATCGACTTTGACATGCGTTTTGAACTTAACAGGCTTACCTCTTTTTAAAGACAAGATCTATCAACTCACTTTTGATATCTATTATGAAGCCCTAAGTCAAAAAGCATCATCTTAAGTCTGATCTTAAGTGTTTTCTGTCTTTGGGTCTGACTTCAGAACGGGTTAAAAGAAAGTAGTTTGGTCAGAGAAACTATTAATGATATATATTTAATTGTGAAATGGTTGGAAACGGATGTTTTGGCAGGTGAATTATTTCCTCATTTTGTCAGGTTCTTACATTGTATGTTCACAAGTTATGTTGAATTACTGATGCCTTCCTTTCTTATTCTATAAATGTGTTTTAATCAAGTCATTTAAAAGCCGTATTAAAACACAGATTAGAGGTGCACTTCGGCCTCTTGTGGCCAAAATGAGTACTGCAAACAAAAGTATAGTATTTGTTCTAAATTCAGGCAAATGTTTATTTCCAGAGAATCGTAATTTCGCATTTTAAGGACACTTTAAATCCCAACTCTGCTTCTTCAACGTCATGTTAGTGTCAGATTGAGGTTACATCCCAGAATAGATATCCATGCCTTTAGAGATTTAAGACTGTGTCGTGATATATTTCTCAAAGCTTGATGTGTTTCCATCCGCCGCTCCTGTCACACAATTCTCAAGCAATCACGGAGGGGTTGAATTATCTAATTTCACAACTTTCTGGTTATACGAAGCCTTTTGTTTTTGCTTTCCTTGTACAAGTGGTTCTTCTGGGGGATATTTTCTAATCACAAACTTGAATAATCATTTCTCTGTATATGTGCAATACATTAGACATAGACCTCATATCACTCTAGTTTTGTTCTTCAGGTTACAGACTTCATGTTATAGCACCAGCTCTGAGTATTGTTAAAGTCAATGTCAATCTGCAGGTACAGTCCTGCTTCAATCTGATGCCTCTGTCACCTCTTTTCAAATGTTTGTCACTTTTTAAAATGTTTTTCCAAGCTCTCATCTTTCACAGAGTTTATATCTAAACATTAAAAATGCATACACAACTTTTCTCTCTCTGTGTCCTTTAGCTTTCAGCCGTCTGTGTTAGCGTGTCTTTAAAAGCTCTGCTGACGACTTTAATCGATGTTTCCTGTTACAACATCGTCGCTAAAGTGAGCTATGATGGCCGCATGTCCTCATCTGTCACTATTTTTCATTTTAGTGACAGGAAGTGACCATTATTTCATGTCTAACTATAAGGTTTATATATACAGTCTATGGGTACAACATGTTACTACAATGAAAAAGGGCTACAGGAACTTAAAGGTCCATATTAGTTTGCAAGTGATGACGTGTTTTTGAACCCAAAAATTAGCATCTCCAGGGCAAAAAATGTTCTCTCTCCATTGACTTCAATACATACTTTTTCCGAAATAAGGTCCCATGGGTCGGAAGTAGATGGGCGGGACTTCGCCTCTCTATCTAGATTATCTTTCGATCCCGTTTGAATTGTGCCACGAATTACACATATGATGTTTGTCAATCTTAAAAAATAATTTCCATGTCAAAAAAGTCAGTTTGTCGTAAAACTGTTGAAATATAAGACTATGAAAAATACGCAACTAGAAAGACTACAAATCTCAGAATCCCGGTCCCGCATGCTGGCTCTTACGGAACCGACTAACTCCCCTTGTGTGTATGTACAGCTCTCAACATGCACAGACTTGGAGTGATTTTCACCTCTTTTAATACTTTCCGCCTCATTCTGAGAGAAAGAAGTGAAATGTGCCAACGTGACGGCCGTCTGGGTGTGTGGTGCGAGACGGGAGATGTAGTTCATTGAGCGGTTTCACACAAACAAAAGTGTTACTTCACATTTTTACCACACATTTTTATTTTTTTTACTTGCAAAATTATCTTTTGAATGGACAAACATCATATGTGTAATTCGTGACTTCAATACATACTTTTTCCGAAATACGGTCCCATGGAGGTCCCCCGGAAAGGGAGGGACTTCGCCTCTATAAAGGAACTGCAACACGTCACCACTGCTAAGCTAAATGCGGCTAATGTTCGGCGTGTTGACATTTAATAGTCTCATTCAGACACTGAGTAACCCCTGTTTATGGCACGTAGAAGCTTCATACATTCATAATTTGGGTATTTACTATTTTATGTCGTAGAACAAGATGTCAAAATCTCTTCAGCTGATGTTTACCACAGACATTATTTCAGGCATCAAACCAAAAAGACATTCAGAAAATCCATTGACTAAAAAATGAGTTAGCATTTTTCCATGTCCGGTTCCCTTGATTTCAAAGTTGTCGGACTCATTCCTGCACCACTGTTTTGAAGTTTGTAGCAGTCACCAAAACCAATCTCTTTCCCACTAGTAATGCAGCTTAGTGTCACTCCTTATATAACTTGAGTTAAAGAGAGATCTCTGGAATAAGGGAGGTATGCACAAAACAAAAATTCCAATTCCCGCCTGTTTTGCACGTCTTCTGGGGGTCGAGGGCTTTTGATAACGAAGCATTTCAACCCCCAGACTCTCAACATACCTTTGCAAACTGATGCATGTAAAGGGCAACTTGCAGAGGAAAGAAACATGACCATAAATGTGTATCTCTTATTAAATTAAAATGCTTAAATCCATCAAGAATCCTTAGTGTATGTAGAAGCAAAGCAATATGGTTCCCACAGGTCCTTAAGATCTTTTATATGGCTGCCTAGTAGAATAAACCACAGTACAGACACTTATTTATTTTAACTTAAACCATCCCATTGGCATAGCCTGCAAGTAGCATATCTAATATCTTATAAATACTAAAGGGAAAACTGTCAAGATTCACAAGATGTAGTAATTCATATTTTTTTAGAGGCACTTGAAGGAGAAAATGTATGAAATATGACGAATCTGTATTTTTTTTTTTACTAAAAGTCCATGTTTTTGCAAAACTTCTGCTCCTTTTCCTACATCCATTCTTCTGTACATCCACTCATACATCCATTTTAGTATTTTAGAGTTTATTAGAGTTTAATCTCATCACTCATCTGAATGTTTGCACGATGAACTGCATTCGAAGTCGGTTATTAAGCTACTTATGAAAGCCATAAAAGGACAGGAATATCTAATACCACTCCATACATATTTGATTCTCTTTAAAGAACTACATTTCCCAGAAGGCATTGCAGTTCAATCAAGCTTTCACACAAAAACAGCCATAGAGCACTGACTGAAATTCAATATATTTTTCAAAATGTCCCCTAAAATGTGTGTCTGTGTGTTCAGTCATGACATGGACATTTCTTGATATCGAATGACACCGTTAATATATCGTACACCATGGTGTCATCATCTATATGCTGATTTCATTTTTAAATCTATTTTTAAACTGTTGAATAAAATGTAGTGTGGAAAAAGGATTGTCTTGTATTACTTCTTCCTGAATAAAAGAGTCTAAAATAAGTTAAGATGACACACACACACACACACACACACATATATTTCTGTTTGTAAAGTGGCTAAACAGAAATATATGTATGTGTACCACAAGATGGCGCTCTGCTCTTGTGTATATCCTTAAATGAACTGAGTGTTAGGAGTCTATTCAGATAAATGAAACACACACAGCCTTGTTTGGTTGTACCCTCCAACAAATGCAGGTATGAATCACATCATGTACCGTCTGGGTGATCCTTGAAAGCAGCGTTGTATGGAACAATATGGATATTATTTTACATAAAGACACATTTTTGCATAGACTGAAAACCAGAATTATAGCTTAATAGCTGAGAAAATTGCTCTTAAATCTCTCAAAATGGCTTTAGACCTGGTCAAAATAAGGGTGTGGACATAGTAGTTTCAATCAAAGGTGGCTTTATGGGCAGATGAATGTCCCTGTCTGCTAAACTGTTCCAATGCAGCTAAATAACATTTTCAGTTGAAGATATTTTCTCCCAGAAGACGTGTTTAACGCTGTGATTTGAAATAAAACTAAAACCCAAAAGCACTCAACATTGGTTTTAACTCGGACTTTGATAAGATATTTGATAACAAACATAATCCAGGAGAAAATGTGTTTCTCCTGACAAATAATTGACAAAAGAGTTTCATTGTGTTTCAGTCAGACAACTCACGTGTTTCTTAATATGTGTATTAGAAGCAGCATACAGTTTGAGTTTGACGTGTAGGCTCGGGCCTCATCACTCCACAGATTTACAAAGAACATTGAGTGATGATTAGATAACTACCCCCCGAGCCTACAGGGGGAAGCTGGGGTGGAAGCTGGGGTGGAAGCTGGGGGTGGAAGCTGGGGGTGGAAGCTGGGGTGGAAGCTGGGGGTGGAAGCTGGGGTGGAAGCTGGGGTGGAAGCTGGGGTGGAAGCTGGGGTGGAAGCTGGGGTGGAAGCTGGGGTGGAAGCTGGGGTGGAAGCTGGGGTGGAAGCTGGGGTGGAAGCTGGGGTGGTGCTGGGGTGGAAGCTGGGGTGGAAGCTGGGGTGGAAGCTGGGGTGGAAGGTGGTGGTGGGGCAGGTGAGCAGCAGCAACATGAAACACAGCAGCAGGAACATGAACGTAGCAAGTGAACACAGCAGTGGCAGCAGCAGCATAGCGAGGCAGAGGCAGGAAGACCTGGCAGCTTCAATAGAGCGGCATGTTTAGGAGAATGTGTTTGGTTGGTTGTAAGAGGGACGAGGTGCGTCACGTGTTAATGTATCATTGGTGCTCGAGTTGACTGCCTGAACTAGCTCGCAAAATACTTAATTCTGTCATTTCCCTATCTTAGTTGCTTAGACCTCAAATCAATGTAATGTTTCTGTGAATTGGACGGTATGAATTGGGAATGAATGGGACTTTACTTTCTCTTCATAAGAAGTTTCTGTAGGGGGCACTCTTTCCATCTGCAGAATTACAACTGCTGAAACTATGGTGAGCATCTATGCATACGACAATTACCAAGTGTTCCTTTTTAATTACAGCAAAACACACCACAAGTGTTAATCCATCGGACATCAGCTAAGTGCTTGGAGCAGAAGATGGATCCACTGTGCTAAGGTTCACTCAGTATTTGTTACAGTAAATAGCCATAAGAAGTATTTTCTTACCGGCACTGTACTGTGAAAATACTGCCTATTGTTACTATTGTTCTGCAGATTCATGCATCAACTAATATTATGTTCTCTGCTCATGAACAGGGAACTTTTTTAAGTAACTCTCAGTCTCTGCACACGCAGGGTCTTGGGAGGGTTGTGGTGCACCGGGCCTGGAAAAAAGCCCCTATTGACGGAGGAGTTTCAGAGAGAGAGAAGCTGTGTTTGTGGTCTCTCGCCCAGTCAGCCTTATTCTAAACTTTATTCCCCCGACCGACAGACCTAGGATGACCTGACGCCACAGCAGAGAGAGAGAGAGGAGGGTTTGGACATTACATTGTCCCCTACAAGCTTCTTCATTTGATGACTTTTTATTATTCCACAAATATATAACATACATGGAGATGTACATAGAAATCACACCCACCTCAGTTTACAGTCCACTCAAATCTACATGTTATTGCTCACATACACATTCATACATTACCCCTAAGTCGTGGCAAATTGTACATAAATAAGCCAATATATTTTATGTGTGGTCAATTTCCTTTTCTCTGTGTGCTGTAAAACCTCCAGAGTGGACACTAAGTTTTACACTAATGATCCAGAATGATGTGCAAAGTTATGGTTGAAATTTGAGGAGATTACATTAAAGGTCACCTATCATGCTATTTTCAGGCAATAGCATAGGTCTCAGATATATACAAATATATAAAAAACATGTCTATGAAGTGTTTTGCTCAAAATACCAAACAGATCACCCATTCTAGCCATGCCTCATATCCCTCTATTTCACTTCCTGTTTCAAAAGTGCTGATTTTGGGTAGAAAGCTTTAAAAAAAATAAAAACCCGGCAGCTACTGTCTAAACTAAATACTGCCGTGATGAAACGCCATATCATGGATTATCAAGGGTTATTTCTGAAACAGTATGGAGCTCAAAGGCTTTCTCTCTTGCTGGTTATACCACAAGGTGA